CAGCCCACGAGCTCAACACTAGGCCTGCGTTTCTTGAAGTGGAGATATTCGTGCCGAGTCGGCGACTCTGGATTGCAGGACGACAAGATGAAGACACCATCGATGTCCATTCGTGCCTCGCCCACTTTTTCCTACCTACTCGCTGGCATTACTAACCTCTGTCTTTAGTGCGCGCACTGATGACGGGACGCACTGCGCACCCTTCAATCCGTGCTTCGGTCCCGCACAGGTGATGTACGCGCGCTGTGCACGGAGGATGTATATCTCCGTGCTCATGCCCCTGGCCGCATATTAGTCGAGCACCTGAGACCGAGTCGCTGGCTCGCGAGTAGCGCGCCGCGTTCGTGTCGCTGGGGGACCCGGGAGTGCGTCGCACGACACAGGGAAGCCACGCACGTCCCGGTGCCGGGAAATCGCGCCACTCGCGATATGTGTCGTGCATGTTACCTCCGGTTGCCTGTAGAAGTGCGATTTCGCGTAGAGACGCGAAGAAGGTGCGACCGGGCTTTACTGCGCACGCGCTGCTCCGGCTTTCGAACTTTTATACTGAATCAATCTTCTTCGCGATGTTTATGATTGGCCCGACTTTGTCTCCACCGAAACAGTGGATCCGGCCATCTCCCGTGGTGTTGAGACTGGGATTACAAATATCCAGCGCAATTAAATAATGAAGTGTGCGTCTAGTTCTCTTGATTTCTACGCGCTACTTATGCCCTTGTGTTCGGTTTTATTTTAGCAGTTTCGATTATACAGGAGGAAGAGCGACACGATCTAAGAAACGTCAATGGACGCTGACTCCCGTGGGATGCCAGAACACGAGTCGCACAATGAGTTGGCGACTGTTGACGAAGTAGTAGTGTAGGACATATTGGTGATTTTCGGTTTGTCGTGGACATTGAGTTGTGAAGGAAGGATTAGAACCCGAACACCTTTTATACTCCAGAAAACGGCTGTACATCGGGGGCGGCGGTCCCTTAATGTCTCAAAGGGACCGGATAGATTGGACATCCGCATGTCTTACCTCATTGGACATGCTCCAAGCCACTTACCACTATTCCTCTGGAATAGCATCCCATTGAGGACGAAGTCCACCTGATATTGCCTATTTTCTGCAAATCGGTTTCGCCAAAGGTTTGTCAAGGAGAGTTCAAGATGAAGGGGCAGAATGGATTTTAGGGGCCAGAAAGAAGGCGGGTAGAACCTACGGGCCCGTGACTCAGACCGAGCGAGATGTCTTATTACAGGTCCATCATCAGATACAAGCTTCCGTCGAACATCGCCGAGATGCCCGATTAGCTTCAACAACGCACAACCAGATTTTGTTGAGCCGCGTAGGGATAGTGAGCTCGAGACATTTTTAATTTTTAGGCTTGAAGATTTATCTTCATAGCCCTGCCACGGAGGGCTGTTTGGTCGTTCCGGGTCCTATCACATGGTTTCAAGTTTCCGACTTTTTTCTTATATAAAAGCTAACCACAGTACTAAACCGAGTCCTAACCAAGTTCCTAGCCTTTTGAGGGAGGCTTGGTGGCGGGGGGTCCGCACTTGCATCCTATACGTGTATACTCGAATTGGTGTTAAGCAGGAGATGCTCGTTCGACTCGAGCCCGGGCCGGTATAGGCATCTTTTTTTTTCCTCTTTCTGAGGAGAGCTTTTTCTACCGTGACGAAGTCCTAGGTATATGTATTGTACTTATGCCTCGATGATCTACGTAGACGCTCGTTCCGGGTCCTATCACATCGTTTCAACTCTCCCATTTCTTTCCTATATAAGTAAAAATCAACTACAGCAACACTGAACCGACTCCTAACCAAGTTCCAGCCTTCTGAGGAAGGCTCGGTGGCGGGGGGTCCGCATCTGCATCCTATCCGTATATTTTGAGGGAGTTGAGCAAGAGATGCTCGTTCGACTCGAGCCCGGGCCTTGCGCCTGAAAAATAAAAAAAAAATCGCCTCCTTCTGAGGAGAGCCGACGGAGTCCTTATTATACTATACTTATGCGTGCGCCGCCATTTTTTCGTCCTCGTGCGCTATGTGTACGTATCACCACCGACCCCCCAGTTCGTGTCCATGAATTGGTATGGGTGATATAAAGCAGTACATTCATCCGTCCTTTAGAATCCGAATTAGCGTCCGGCTTCTTCCCCTCTCCTCATGCCCAGGACGCCAACGCTAAAATCACCTCAACTCAACGCCACTCCTTACACCTCTCTTACACCCTCCTAACCCTCCACCGACCCCACCGTTTCCACCCATCCCCATCCTTCGTGCTGAACACACCCCGCGCAGCCGCGGCCCGCTCCTGCGCAAACTGCCGCGTGACGAGCGTGAGCGCGTAGAGCGAGAATGTGCCGCGTGTGTGTAGCATATCATATACATATTACACAACGGGCAGCGCACACGCGTATGTATGCCCCCGAACGCCGAACGCGACCAAACGCGCATATGATCCCGCTCGAATCGCACGAGCGCCCCATACCACGAAAACCAAAACCATCTTGCAAATGCAAAACAAAAACCGAAACAAAACTAAATCCCAAAAACGCACCTGGAACCCCGCCAGCCCGATACTCGCGAGGCCCAGCACAGCGCGGGGGTAGTTCTGCGGGCGTCGGCCTCCGGGGGAGGTTTGAAAAGTAGATGAAAGCGCCGAGGGAGAGTTGGGTTAGGTAGGTTGGAGGGAGGGAGGGGAGGGTTCGAACTGCAAGGGAGGAGGGATGAGGAAGGAAGGAGAAACACACCTGATGCAGGCCGCGGAAGTGCGTGGGGCTTTGGTACCGGAGGCAAACGCAAAGGCGGCGAAGACGAGCGGTGCGGTGAGCGGTGCGGTGACGGGGGGGGTTACGAGGGTTGCGTGCGGCCATAACGATCTATACGACCTCACCTACCTTACTCGATGACACCGGGCGCCTCGATCGTGGTTTTCATGAACGGCTTCCCGGTCTGCGAGCCGTAGCCCTCAGATCGTCTTGACCAGCTCGTAGTTTTCTCGACGACTCCGCCTGTGCGTAGGTACTGATTGAGTATTGCGCAAAGAAAGGACGAGGGAAGGGAGGGAGACGCACCGAACACGACGTGCTTGCCGTCGAGCCACGAGGTGACGACGGTGGTGATGAAGAACTGGGATCCGTTGGTGTTGGGGCCCGCGTTCACCATGGAGAGCAGCCCGGCTTGGTGTGCCTGAGCTGGAAGTTCTCGTCTGCATACTACGCATTAATCCCGCCCGCAAATACGCCGAGGATACCCTCAAGCGCACAAATAAGCAAGATGGAGATGCACGACGCACCCTTAAACTTCGCGCCATAGATCGACACGCCGCACGTCCCATCGTGGTTCGTAAAGTCGCCGCCCTGGAGCATAAAGCTCGGGATGACGCGGTGGAACCCCGAGCCCGCGTGCGCGTGCCTTGCTCGACGGCTCTCGTTCGCGTTGAGGCCCTGCGCGAGCTTGCGGAAGTTGTCCGCCGTCTTGGGCACGACGTCGTCGTACAGCTTGAACACGATGCGCCCCGCGGGTAACTCACATAAACGTTAAGCTGGGTTGTTAGCGGAGAGAGGGAGGATCAATCATGGACGGCCGGAGCTCGGAGATGATGGCCGGAAGGGGCTGCGCACGGGCCAGGCAAACTGCTTTTTCCACGAGCCTCCAGTGGCGCCGCCTCCACAGGAATTCTGATTCGAAGGAACCGTAGCCGACGGTACTACTATCCCATAATTGTAATTGTGGCGCAGTGACGCTCATGCACCGACCTCACCGTGCCTCTTATTCTTACTCTTACTCTTACCTGACAGGATATTATTCCTACAGCGTAAACTCACAGGATTACGCTGGTGTCGCGATCGAGACTGTTCGACGCCGAATCGGTGCGGGTGAAAATTCTAAGTTGTGTCTAATGTCTATCAATGCTTACTTGGACGTCTGTTCAAGTTTGGAGGTTCTTTCCTTACGCGTCGGGGTCGCTGGCGGCCGACGCTCCAGCGCACCGTTCGATGAGTCGGGATTCGTTACAGCAGCAATACAGCTTACAGCGTAGGCGGAACGTCTATCTAATCTTCATCCATCTATGTACTATCCATCCGGCATCTCAACGGCCATCCGCGCGCACAGATGAATGTTCGTCAACGATCCAGGTTTGCTGTAACATTCGCAGCTGTAGGCCTTAAAGCCTGCAGTCTGCATATGTATTCACCTCTCCGCGCAGATGACGAAGGTGAGGATTCGAATATTAAACTGACAGTAATAAAATTCAGTTAACTCTGCCAACAGAATTCCTAGGGGCTAGGCCTATAACTGACCTCACATTAGACATATGTGTATATGTGTTCGAGGCCCGGTGGCGAATGGTCCGCACCTGCAACCAGTGATCAGCCAATTCGTCTCTGAGCTCAGCAGGATATGCTCGTTCGACTCGAGCCCGGGCCACTTCATGATTTTGGTGATTCGTTATTTTTTTTGGCTTTCCTTTCTTCTGTTTCCACTGACAAGTCGCTTGGAGCTGAGGAGACTGCCACATTGATAAAATTAATTTGCCCACAAGTTCCTGAGCCCAAATTCCAAGTTATTTCAACTAACCTCAGATTAGATGTACATTAAATGTATCCGAGGTCCACCTGCAAGCTGTTCAAAGAACCGTGCCTTTGTAATCAGGATGTGCTTGTTCGAATCGAGCCCGGGCCACTTAAACTTATAGTTTGGATGTTTTTCCCCCCCTTTCTTTCTATTTCGATTGACCAGAACTTAGATTCCCGTACTATGTAATTGCTCTCATCAATTAAGCCAAATCCGCACCCCGGCCATCCATACATGTTTCGCGTCAACGGCACAGAGTTTGCTGTAGCATTCGCAGCTATGTGAATCAATCTCGGCCTATATATATATGCAAGTCGCTCGGAGCTGAGTAGGATATTATCAAAAATCATGGTGCTGGTGAGAAATCCCTAGGCCTAAATTCTAAGTTACTCGAACTAACCTCACATTAGATCTACATTCAATGTATCTGAGGCCCGGTGGCGGATGGTCCGCACCTGCAAGCTATTCAAAAAAACTTTAACACCCTGCCTTTGTATGCAGGATGCGCTCGTTCGAATCGAGCTCAGGCCACTTCTTCGGATGAGGCGCAGTTTTTTTTGCTTTCCTTTCTTTTTGTGTCGGCTTCCGGTGACCAGAACTTGGATTCCCATTCTATGTAACTGCTCTCATCAATTATGCAAAGTCCGCAGCGCGGGCATTCACAGGTGTTAGCACTTCATTTTTTTCTGCATCAACGGCGGAGCGTTTGCTGTAACATTCGCAGCTGTATGTGAGCCTGTGCACTCAGTCTCAGGCTGTATATATATATGCAAGTCGCTTGGAGCTGAGGAGATTATCACCGAAATAGAATCTATTCCACTATTAGTGAGAGAAAAATCCTGGCCATAAATTCTAAGTTATTTCAACTAACCTCGCATTGGATGAACATTCGATGTATCCGAGGCCTGGTGGCGGATGGTCTGCACCTGCAACCAGTGAGCAGCCAACTCTTCTGTGAGCTCAGCAGCATATGTTCGTTCGAATCGAGCCCGGGCCACTTATGAATGCGAGATAAGGCACCCTGCCAGTGGCTTGTAACACATTACAATTTCTTCCAAGCTCACAATCCTGCTCATGCCGTTACAACCCAAACAGGGTTTTTTCCAAAATAAAGGTTCAAGGGACAATTTTATTCAGAGTGACTATAGACCTGAACACCCATCGGTCATTTATTGTATTCACTTAGTGTAGAGGGAGTTCAAATCCACCCGAGTTCACCGGTTTATACACAAGGCCCGGTGGCGGGAGGTCCCGCCTACATTCATTTCCTGGAGTACGAAAACAAAATCTTATGCAGGACTGCAACGTGCTCGTTCGAATCGTGCCCGTGCCCTGAAAATCAACCGCGACATCCTTTTTGCGTGGAAGGCTGATTTTGATTTTGATTTCAATATTACAGTACATGTAACCCAGTTTGCAGCAGGAAGCCCTCCCCTGAATGGACTTCCTAGAGTATGGATACAAAATCTTTTGCTCGTGGAATCGGGGCCGGGTTGAGTCTGACCATTTTGCTTTACATGTAAATGCCATAGTATCATAATGACACTTCCAAAAGGGAGGTTGTGGGCCTCTGAGGAATGCCCCCAACCGGTGGTTCGGGAAACGTCTTCGATCCAAGTAAGAGCTCAGAAGGATAGACTTGTACGTGCAGGACCCGTTGTGATGAACATGTTCTCTTCAAGCGCAGTAATTCAAGGCCTGGGCCGCAGAACGAGTCGACGTTGATTCGACGCGTTTCTCGTCGTATAGTTTCATCAGCCGAGTACGCGACGGTTGACGCGACGCGTTTGATCGGGTTGCACCGTGAGAGCCCCGTTATCACCGGCATGTTCCGCGTCTCCTCGTCTTCCTTCAGCACCTTCTTGGCACCCACAACGGTCACTCTTGTTCTCACAGTGGGTCTTCTACTGCGCCTCTCGCCCGAGACTGATGCAGCCTTGGCAAGTTCTTAGGCGTCTAGAGCTCCCTTTCAGCGCCTGCGGTCATACAGCACTATTCTTGTGTAGAGTGATCATGCTTGAAATGGTCTTCATGTTTCCAGGCTAAAGTCAACCATCGTACCCTTCTCACGCACGGCCACACCGGTCGACGCAATGCGCTGCGTCTTTCAGCCGTCGATTTTTTCTTTTTTTTCCTCTTGGAGCAGTTTGTTATTCGTGCATTGACTGATTTACATCCTAGCAGCTCAGCCCCTCGACTTTGAACACTACTTCGATCCCTCCATCACTGGAAACTGCGCTGGCATTCGTTCGTATCCCCACCCGGCATTTTTCTCACAGGCTTAGGCTACTTTCCCACTGCAACGGCGCGAGATTGAGCGACCCCGGAATATACACGCGCTCATTCCGATCTCATATATAACCCCTCATGCAGCCTGCTCACGATTATTCCGACGAAGATGCACGGCAAACCCAATGGTCCCGCACACGACCACGAACTGGGAGAGGGAGAAGCCATAGCGCGCATCCACGCCCACATCGCCTTCTTCGCGTTCCTCGTCGCCCTCCCCCTCGGCGTCCTCATCCCGCGCTACCTCCGCACCTTCACCCCCGCGTGCGTCTTTCCTGTCTTTATTCCGCCTTTTTGTCCTCGCCCTCGCAGCATCCCGCTTACCCCTCCTGTAGCTGGTTCTGGCCGCACGCAACGATGAACCTCCTCGTCACCGGCCCGCTCGTCTTCACCGCCTTTGCGCTCGGATACCAAGCCACCACCGCTAGCGAGACACCGCACTTCCACGACCCGCATCAAGTGTGTTTCTCCTTTCTCCTTCCTACTTCATTTATCTCTACCCCATCTCTCCTCCCCCAACCCCAATCTTACGCGTCCATCGAATAGAAAATCGGCCTCGCCCTCCTCATCCTCTACCTCGCCCAAGTCTCCCTCGGCGCCTTCATCCACTTCGTCAAACTGCCCCGCACCTTCCCCGGTGGCCGCCGCCCGCAGAACTACCTCCACGCTGTGCTGGGCCTCGCAATTATCGTGTTGGCGTCGTTTCAGGTGCGTTAAGGTTTTGTTTGGGTTTGACAATTGGGTTCTTTTGGTGGTATTGCGGAGCTCGTGCGTTTTGAGCGCGGGTTTCCGTATTATTTATGCGCATTTGGGTGCGTTCGGGATTCGGCGGTATATGTGCTTCTCATCTTCCTCCTCCTCTTCCCCACCCCCACCTCGGTTCTCCCTTTCCTTTCACCACACTAACCCTCCCCCACAGACACACTATGGCCTCTGGAAAGAATGGGCCCTCATCAACGGCGACACACACCCCGTCTCGTGGCATTGTAAGAGGTTTTGGTTGGGGATCGTGGTGGTGCGTCTTTATTTCTTTCATTTTGTGGTTTCACTTCGCGTTCCTGTGCCCTGCTTCGAATTCTTTTGTGGTTTTTGCGTTCCTGAGGGGTTATATCATACTCGCGTGGTCCAAATGCCTGAACGATGAGTTTACCAAAGATACACGTGCACTACTGTACGGAACACACAACCAATCTGGGGGTTAGATCAAACAAGACGCTCGTTTTCTGTAGCCCGCCTCGAAAAGACAGGACATCTGGTTAAAACCCGTGGACCTGACCTCCAGTGGAATACACTGGAGTACGGGAAGAGTTCTCTCCTCCCAGGGATAAATAAATCTCCGGAGTCTACCGGTACACAGAATCTGTCGAATGTTCCTGTGGCCTGCGTCCTTCTTTGTTGTGGTTTCGCGTTGCTTCCTGTGTCCTTCTTCCCTGCGTCCTTTTATTTTCGTTTCACACCTTCTTTCTGTTTTTGTTTCGATTTTATTGCTCGCCATTACCCTTTCCCTCTTCATCTCATCTCATCTTCACCCTTACTCCTCCCTCCTCACCCCTCCCCACACAGGGTATGTTCACCCTCTACGCCCTCGGACTCGGACTCGTCCCGCGGCAGTTTAAACAAGAGCGCGCTGCGAGGCAGGCGGCGGGTGCACGGGGTGGGGTGGATGGGGAGGGAAAGGCGGGGTCGCTGGAGGGGTTGCGGGGTCTGGGTGGGGAGGGTGTAAGAGGGGTTTGAGGGGTTCCGTTAATTTGGGGTGATTTTCGCGTATTGGTCATGATGAGTGACGTGCAGGTGAGGAGAAGAGAAGAGGCCAATGTAGGACGCTCATGAGCACGGAAAGGATGTACGCATACCGATTGATGTCTTATCGGCAAGCTTCCGTCGAACATCGCCGAGATGCCCGATCAGCTTCAGCAACGCAACAACCAAATTGCATTGACAGACTTGAAGACTTCTCTTCGTAGCCCAGCAACAAACGGCTATCTTGTGGCGGATACTCCCCTCCTGCAACCTATAGAGCGATACAAAAAAAAGTATGTGTCCGAACTGCTCGTTCGAATCGGGTCCGGATTCCAAAGCGGCATAGTTATCCTTTTATGTTCTCCCAATGCCCTCTCAAAAAAATTCTCCTCCGAGGAACTTCGCAGGTTTATCAGTAAGGGCCGTTGGAGGGAGGTCAGCGCTCGTACCCCATGAATTTCCCCTCTGCAATGATCAAGCACGACACTCGTTCGTCCACTGCACACCTGCAACAAAGATTCCGGCCGCTGGAGCTCAAGTCGGCGTCGGCTTCGAGCTTCCTCTCGGATTCTTCGTCCACATAACACGGCGCAAAGGTAAGTTCGTGTCTCGAATAATCCAATATCGGGCTTATACACATCCTGCAGGCCATCGACAAAGAATTCAAACGTATGTACTTCGCAGTTTGGCCTGTCAATGTGGCTAATGTTTTTGGAATCGAAGCTTTGCTTGAATTTTGCCAGAAAAAAAGACCGGTCTGCGCACCAATCGCCAGGATCGTCGATAATAGTCAGTTGCGTACCAGGTGCCACGAGGTCTTCCAACCTTTAAACTGATCGCAGAGAGAAGGATATCCGAAGTCTCGGGGGCGAGATATACTTACAAACTCGTGGCAAGAGACCTGGCTGCTCGAGAATAGACGGGGAGCAAACGTGGAACCGTGAATAGGATTCGGGAGAAAGAAAGGAAAGGATAAAGTGGGACCCAAGCGTCGAATTTTGGAAGAAAAAAAATGGGGTATTTGGGAGGATGCCCTGAGCTCGAATCGAACGGGCATCAGGCTGTAAACCATAGCATTTGTATAGGGTAGGCAGATGGGCCCAGTGCAACAAGGTCGTCTCACACAAAGATATACATGTATCTATTAACGGCTTGCATGCCGAATGTATCCAGCAAGGTTTAGAACCCGGTTAACGTACCGCAAAAGGAAAAGGCCGTCGATACATTCGTATGGCCTGAGCCCGAGCCGAGCAGGCTTTCTGCATATTTTTATCACAGAGTTAGTGGACATGATGGACTCGAGCCCGGGCCCTAGTGTGTTAGATTTTCTTTTTGTTACCATCATCCTCTTGAACTCTTCTACTCACAATGATTCCAGTTCATAAACTTGAAAGGGCAGTAAAAAAAATTTCCCTGCAACAAATCGAGAACTGTCATCATGTTGGGTCCAGATTACCGGCGCTGCGTTCCATTACACTCAACCTGCCAGACCTATTCGTGCC